GAACTCGATAACAATGCTAAAAATGGACTTCAATGCATCTCCAAAATTCCACTGCTCCTTTCATTTATTGCTACCCAATAAGAAAGCCGTTCAGAAAACATTGATTTTTAGCGGTTGATGAAGTACATTTACATGTACTGGTATTTTATAATAGAAGAAGAACAAATTCACCAACAAAATAATATTTATATATCTATCTGAAGATATAGTTGAATTTATCCACTATTCGGGATAGTGTTCTTTAAAGTTCCTCACCATGTTGAACACCCAAATAATGTTGTACTACCTTTTACAGCCCTTGTGTGATTATTGTTTTGTCGTGTTGGGAGTGTGAACCTGAAACTTGCCTTATTTGTTAATTCACTGGGCGATTGACCCTAGTAGGTATGAAAGTTGTATATGATTATGATGCAAATTGAATTTCAGTTTGTCTGAAACTCATCTGAGATTTTTAATTCTTATTGAGTTTTCATTGACAATATTAAATCCCGGTAGGTCTGTAGCTATGATGCATATTCTGCTTCATTTTCTAGTTAGACGGTCGACTACAATATGTCACCAACTTCTTTTCCATTTAATGTCAGTGGACAAGCGATTATGCATCAGTTCATTATTTGTTTCCAAACATTTTCCTCTGTAACTCCGTGGAATATTCCCCAGACATACTTTCCACAAACATACATGTACACATGGCGCAAAAAGCAGCCCGCTCTGCAAACAAACCATAAAAATGAAATACATTTTATGCTTGCCCCGAAAGTCATTTTATCACATTAAACGGGCAACATAACAATAGATAAGCGTGTTTGGTAACCATACATTTTGTGCAGTGCAGAATTCCAATGATTCAACGTGTCCCAGCGGCGCCATATTTCATCATTAGGCCTCACAATGGTGTAAAGTGGTCATTTGACGTGTAGAACACGACGAGGGAAGTCCCAGCAGAGGGTATAGGGTAGCAGTACACCTTCGGGAAATGTTATGAAACAGGGGCGGTTCGTCTTGGAGTATGCAAGGGGATTTGATATGAAATAAATTTTTCTTGAATTATAACACAGTGATATTGTGAATTTATATTTTCTTGGATGTATAATGTCCAACAATCTAGAAAATAATCAAAATTGTATCATCATAAAAAATGAGAAATGAAACTTTCTATGTTTTTACCGCTCTTATTTGTAACTAACGTTACTGCAGTTTCGTCCTATAAGGACATTTTCAAACTTATACATGAAACTAAATTTGATTGATTACATGAGCCCTTATATAACACTACTGAACTTAATTAATCAATTAATTAACAAAAAAAGTCCACATCGGACCAAAAAACTTTAGGTATATGAATAGCTAACCCCTGTCTTCAGATTCCGTATCAATTTGCTTCTCCTGAAGATGCTAACCTTGTTAGCGAAATGCGCGTCTAGTGCAAAAATATCAGTTTGGTGTTAGGGTAATTGATCTCTAGAAAAAGTTTTAAAAAATTGGTTTGCAAAACCACTCACTACCTTACCTAACCTCAGGCACACACGGCACTGATGAAGAAATATTGTGAAACGGACAAAAAAGTAGTATTCAGCCAGTCCAGCTAGCCGAGCCTTTACTCCTCAACTACATTTGATATCACGTTTACTAACTATCTGGGCGACTAGGGGCCACAGGCAAGAAATGTTTATGACTGTACTCTTATTTTTATTGCTTCTCCAATTGGGACTGGATAGACTGTACCAACGGATTTGTTAGATTTTTCATTACTTGGTGGGTACAGTGTAGTACGCTATACTTTCATTTCGGCTACGTTAATAATTTTTAGCAAACTCGCGGCCATTATTATAATGTGCAAAAAACATTCGTCATTTTGAAATACTTATGCGCGTCAGATTGAGATATATAAAGTTCATCTTTATGTTTCAGACGTGCTTTCTCATAATCTGACGATTATCTAGAGGGATTCGTTTAATCTGACAAAAACAATTTTTTTCATTTTTTTTTCTAATTCATTGAACTTGATTAATTGAAAAGCTGAGGAAATGGCATGCATGCATATTTTTTTTATTTTTTTTTACTCCTTTATTCTTTCTTAATTGACAATCCTAAAAATTGCATTGAAAGTTGTCATAACACTACACCAATGAAAATATATAAAAATACATAATACATACGCCTACTTGAAAAATTCAACACTTCAAAACGACTACAAACATTCATTCATTGAGATAGTCAGCAACTGAATAGCAACATTTTTCCAACAAAACTGTTTCAATAATTTTTTAAAAACTTTCCTTTCCTTTTATTTCAGGTGGAAGGTTATTGAATAATCTAGCGCCCATGCTATTTGGAGATTGATTACTCAGCTTTAAACGGACCGTATGAAAATGTATATCTTTTTCCTTTCTCGTATGATAATTGTGCATGTTATCATTAAGTGTGAATTCATTTTTGTTTCGGAAAACATACATACATGCTTCATATATATAAACACATGGTTTTGTCAATATACTTAAGTTTGGAAACAATTGTCTACATGAATGAGAGCTAGAGACTCCTGCCATGAGCGAACAATCCTTTTTTGTGCTATAAACACCACGGCACACCTAGTTGATATACCCCACAATAAAATGCCATATCTAAGTTGGGAGTCTATATGAGCGGAATACAGAGTTATTAACAGTTTTCTGGTTAAAAGATTACGCATGTTCCTGACTAAGTAATTCATTGAGTGAAGCTTGGCAATAATATGTCCACATTATGCCTTCCAGTCAAGGTGCTCATCAATATAAAGCCCTAGAAATTTCATTGTCCCTTTATTAGAGCTTGATAAGGCCCTGTCATTCACTTCGATTTCTATTGTGTCACATGCTTTCTGTTTGTTATGAAATCTATATAACGTTGTCTTATCAACATTCAAATACAAGTCGTTTTCATTGAAATAGTTACTAATTTTTTTCATTACATCAGTGCCCACCTTTTCTATTTCCGATGTTGTAGAAGCTGATATTGTCAGTGAAAAATCATCTGCATGTGCAGTGTACTTGCCTGAGTTGATATTCTGATCTATATCTGTCACAACAATATAAATAGCAAAGGCCCTAATATTGACCCCTGAGGAACACCTCTCTCAATAGTTCTCAGTTGTGAGTTGACCTTCCGAGTCTTGCTGCTATTGTTGTGGGCTATACTAACATACTGCGTACGATTTTTTATGAATGTTGATATTCAAGTATTCGCTATCCCTCTAATACCAAATCTTTCCAGTTTTGCTAGTAATTGGTTACATTGACATTTAACTACATAATATAAGGTAATGAGCTTGAGGTTAGTTCAGAAGGTGCTTGAAATGGTTGCCTTGAACATCTTGACATATGAATAGCTTATCCGATATCTCAGGCCGAACATTTTCGATCACAGTAACGTCAATATCTCTACAAAAATTCATTATTCTCTGCCGTATATCCAATATTGAAGCAGGTTCAGTTTCGTACACTTTTTGCTTCAAATAGCACCATGAGAAAAAATGTCCTGAGGTGTCAAATCTGGCGAGCGGGCTGGCCATTCTGTAGGACCTCGACGACCATGCCAACGACCGGGAAAAGTAGTATCTAAATAATTTTTTACTTGTGTGGAGTAATGTGGTGGTGCTCCATTTTGTTGGAATACAATATCCATATCAAATTCATTAGGATGCGCTTCGACGATTTCAGGGACGGAAAGGTTAACAGTAGTTTTCAGCATATTCGAATACAGTTCCCCTATTGAATTTTGATCAATAAATAGAGGTCCAACAATATGACAAAAACTTTCTTCCCCAACAAAAAGCAATATTCTAATTTCGACATTACATAAGCTAAATGAAGAGTAATTAGAGAAGATATATTAGAAAAAGATCTACAATTGCGAATTGAGCCATTAACTCTCAATGCTTCACTTATTTTCGATCTGTGGTTGGAAGAAGACAAATATTGATCAAAATATACACCAAGATCTTTAATTGTGTCACTACGTGGTAGTGAAATGGTGTCTAATCGATAATTGTACTCGACGACTAACATTTTCCTGCTATAAGATACTACTTTACATTTAGAGTCATTTGGATGCATTAGTTTGTTAACTTCACATCAAATCTGTACATTTTCTAACTGTCGTTGCAATGTATTAGTCTTCGATAGTTTTGACAGGTAAATATATTTTTAAATCATCTGCCAAACATCACTTATTACAATCGATATAACTACTGAGGTCATTAGTGAATAATAAGAATAGAAGTGGTCCGAGATTCGACTTCTGAAGTACTCCAAATGAAGAATTGAAGTGAGTAGAATTTAATGAAAGATACTGCTGAATTATGGAAAATAAATTGATGGAGATGTTTTAGAAGGATCATGTGGTCTCAAGTCTTTCAAATGCTTTAGCAAAATCAGTGCATATCACACATCAGCTTGACCATGATTATCTAAGAAATCACTAACATTTTTAGTCGATACAATTAAATATGTTATGGTGGATCTGTTAGACATAAATTCACATTGTTGCGGAGATATGGTATTACGAATTGAGAAATGAACGCCATTATAGATTACAATTTCGATAAGTTTACCAAAGTTCGATAGAATTGAAATAGGACGATAATTCTAAATGTCCAATGGATCTCCAGACTTAAAAATGGGACAAAATCGTGAAATCTTATATTATTAACGAAAAGTATTATTTTTAACTGTAGTAGTAAGGGATAGACCAATACACCGATGCAATCTTTTATCATATAGGATGGTATCTCATCAGGACCAAAAGTGAACTTATTTTTTAGTGTCCGTGCTGCAATCAAGATTTCCTTTTCGCTATATTGTATAGCAATCCTGTGAATGATATCTGATTCAATTCCTTAGCAAACGTTTGGAGTAAAAACTGAATAAGAAAAGTGTTTTCGTATAATGCAATGTTCCTATTCCAAACGGCTAGATGATTTCCCTTAATATAATTTCACTCATACTTTTCATGCCGGCTGCATGTACCGAGAGTTGTCTGCGGCATTTCATGTGGGTTTTCTTCCGACAGGGTTCCAGTTCCACGGGGGTCGTTTGTCCGGCCAAAGCGCCTATAGCCAACACTCTGATCACCACGATCACCCTGGTGCTCACCACCCAGTGATGATGGCGGCTGCGGCGGTCGTGGCCGGCCTCCACCCGGACTCGGATACGAACCCGTGGGAGATGGAGGCCTTCGCGGAACGGTTCAAGCAACGCAGGATCAAGCTGGGTGGTACGCAGGGTGATGTAGGTGAGTGAAGTGGCTCTGTCAATCTGTGGAATGCCTTTGTATGATCGTCGATAGAGTATGTTGAGTGGTAGTTTGGATTCGAACGGGTTGTTCGTAAATTTTTCCTTCACAGCCCCATGTAGAAGGATGGAAGTCTTTGGTATCCAGACATCACTATGGAGCAATATAGCTATAGAAAAATCAGATTGTTTCAATGAAATATAACGTTATTCTGTTGGACAAAGAAATTAACCGGTCTAGTATCATACGTGACGGCATTTCAGGCATAAGTTAAGACTTTTCCAAGAAACTTTTTCCCGTATCATCAACTCGAATCTAAATATTGAGAATTTTCCCTTTTTGCAGGAACGCATAAGGCTGGGTTTGAGGATGTCACTCGGGCTAAGTATTATGAGAGGTGCGACCCATAAACGTCTGTTTATGCCTGTACCAAAAAAAAACTCTGCTTTCAGAAATTACTAAAATACAGGGGTGTTTCCATCTTGAGTGCATTACACTGTATATGTGTGGGAAAATTGGTAGGAACCAACCAAGCGAATTGGAAAGCACTTGGTTTCACCAAGCTGAATTCATATTGGTATTGATATGTCAAAAAACTATCCCACACTGGTTTGGAAGGTGATGAAACAACTGAGCGGTTTCATTGAACTGAATACTGTCAATGACAGCGCATTATGTTTTATCAAACGAATACTCAATACTTGGCCTGCTGGAGGAGTTTCAGACTCTTGGTTGAATCTGCTAAGATTGGTCCATTCCAAAGTATGATACCCATCCAAAGAATGAGAACCTGTTTCATAATGAATTAGCAGCTAGAGTTACCATTCTAGTCGTTTTATTGCTCTCTGATTTCTCTTCCAGTCAACTCTTTTCATCCCCTTCCAGTCGATGGGAGTCTTTGGTAGAGGAAAACGAATTTGAAGAATTTCAGAATATATGCTTGTCAAAATTGTTGATACAGTCAATGTTATTCTTGACATTTCTTGAGTATTTCTGGTTATTTGACTGAGAGATCTTGCTCATGTAGACTTTCTCTCAAACGTCTTGGATGAAGGTGGCCAAGTCCGTTCTATCCACCACGATATTTCTAATTCAACCATATTCGATTGATACAAAAACTCGAACACATGGGAATTTGTGGCGAACTCTTATCTTGGATATGAAGTTGACTCATGTTAACATATGTAATGAAGTTGGCCATTTGCACTTGACAGTTTACCAAATCGCAGCGGTTTTTGTCAACGGTCTAGTGTACTGTTACATGACTAGCTGATGTCAACGTATTAAAATTTTCTGCAAGTTTAGTTCCGTCCGGTGTACCTCAAGGATCTCATCGGGGACTATTGCTGCTCTTTTTTTCATGAACGACATTTAGTGCTGCTTCTTCAATGTCGAATTTTTTGAGCTTCGCAGACTTTCCGAAATATCACAAGAAAATTATCTCCCAACATGACTGCGACACAACAACTAGTTGGGGTGCTGACAATAGTATGGAACTCAGTACACGTAAAATTTCATTTCTTTATTTTCAATCATTGTTGACGAATCTCTCGAAATACTGGGCTTCCTAAGAAGATGCAATTGCCTAAAAAATCTGTACTGTTCTTTGGTAAGATCTCATCTCGAATACATCTCTTCTATGTGGAACCTATTATATGCAAGCCATGTGTTTATGTTAGAACAAGTTCAGTAAAAATTCTTAAGATTAGTTGGATTTGAATTCAGATTTCACCCAAGAACTATACATACAATTATAGTAACCACTATATTTTCTCGTAGATCTCCAGATATTCCAAAACGAAAAGAATGATATTGTATTGCATTTTTTTCAAATATTATCAGTGGAATTATTTGCTGCACCTCATTGCTATCCAGGTTCGGACTTTTAGGCCCTTTCAAATTCACAAGAAGTACAGGAACACTTTCTTAACCATACTAAAGAACAAATTTGTATCTTCATTTCTTTATACCACGTTCTATGAGAGCAATGAATGAAAGAGACTTTTATTTTTGGACATCTGCATCCTAGTTTAAAAAGCGACCAAATTCGGGATGGAATATGTAGCTCTTGCGAATGTTTTTCTGATAGTGCGAGTTTGTTTGTGGTATACGGTTTGGACATAAATAGTTCCCCCCACTCTCACTTTCGAAACGTGTGAAATGGACAAAATTAATGTAAAAAAAATCATTTTCAGTACTTTCTAATAAAAAAGTGACATCACTTGCCGCGGTGAGGGTGTTTTCAACTTTTTTCCAAATGGAAAGGGGGCGATTGTGACATATAAAAGATATTTCAATTTTCCATACAATGATTTTCACTTTCATGAATTCGATAACCGCTTCCGGAGTTACGGACAAGTGTTAATTTCAGGGGTATAAAACGATACCATTTAATTTCAATCTTATCATTCATCTCATAACGGGTCTTCTAATAAATAGGGACTTTATTAGAACTTTCGATAACGATTAATAACGACTATCTTGTTGAAGTTACATCTGTCAAATTACTTGTCATTCATTCATGAACGGATACAGCATTCACCATGAACGGATATAGCATTCACCATGAACGGATATAGCATTCACCATGAACGGATATAGCATTCACCATGAACGGATATAGCATTCAATAATACGTACAAATGATGAAATTGTTTCATTGAAATGGCTGTTTTGTTCGAGCAACGTACCGCTCGTTCCGCCCATTTTCGGTCGCTATAATCGTCCTACCAAGAGGACTATTTGCAAGCTAACGTATTCTAAAAACACTTTATTTGTAAAACTGTCTAGTGAAAATCACACAATGAAGTGTTTTTAGAATACGTTAGTTATGGATTTTCATCAAGTCGCGGTCGATTCCATCATATAATTGCAAGCTGGTGGATACATTTGAGTCCACTGATTCAGTAAACTATGACACCCTTATATCGACAAAACTCAAGATATGATGCTGCCTGTGGAGTGTGTAGAAGAATCCAAGGCAGTCGATTTCGCGTCGCCCACAAGAACTAGGCCTTCCGCAGTCCACAACTTAGCGAATTTTGCGTCGTGGCTTGGACCTGCACTGATGCAAAATTCAACTAACCAACTAACCAACGGTGTCCATAGACACCGACATGTCTATGGTCTTTCATCTCCAGTATTAGCTGAATGGGCTCGGCAGCAGTTAGCAACTGACCCTAATTTTCATCAAAAAATCATCTTCAGCGATTAGGCCCATTTCTGGATGAATAGGTACGTGAATGAACAAAATTGACGAATTTGGGACGATACCAGTCCACATGAGATCCATGAGCAGGCAAAGCAATGGAAAAGTCACTGTATGAGGTATATTTTGGGCTGGCGGCGTTATCGGTTTCTATTTCATTGAGAACGACGTTAGCCAGGCTATCACTGTCAACGGCCAGCACTATGAGTCGATGATTACAAACTTCTTTTGGCCTGAATTGGATGAATTGGACACCAACGACAAGTGGTTTTGATAGGACGGCGCTCGAACCTAACATAAGCCATGCCATCGGTCAAATTCAGCCTGATTTGTGCGCCAAAGTCATGGAAAATTAAACGTTTCGAAAGCGTTCTACCCAAAGAAGCCATGGCGAACATTTGAACGATATTATATTCCACACATGATGGCATCAATGACTCTTTTGAACGTATGAATAATTTCGATGATATCTCTCACATATTTTGTTTCATACAAATTTGAAGATAGGAAACGCCTAATGAAAGAGCAAATATTCTTCTCGAACTTTTTCATTGTGAAACAGTGTAATTTCGAACGTATTTCTAATATTTCGGAATGTTTCGTCAAATATGTCTTTCAGTTCCTGTATCGTCTCAGGTTATGTAATATAAACTCTCAATTCGATATATGGAGGAAACAATTTATATCCGCACTGTATATTCATATATATATATATATATATATATAGAGAGAGAGAGAGAGAGAGAGAAAACAGAATTGGGCCAAGGATAGAGCCCTGAGGTACTCCATAAGCAACAGGTAAAGCACTAGGACACTTTCCATCCAGACATACTGACCGAGTCCGATTTCTAAGGTAACTTTTCAATAGATTTTCAGTCCCTTCACTAAATCCGAGAAATGACATTTTTCTACACAGAATATTGTGGTCTAATGCATCGAATACTTTACTGTAGTAAATCATTAAACTCTTAGTTTAATCATTTCCTTGATGTTAAAGGTAAGACATGGAGCGGGCGGTTTTGTTGTTCTTATAGACCTAACTGGGGCATGGGCATTGAAAAGAATTGATGTGTTTGTGGTGAAAAACTCTACCATTGCATCTACTGTTTCGAAGTG